CAAATAATTCGGACACCATCCATGGAACTGCTGAGATATGTTCTAGTAGGCCTTACTCAGAGGCATTTTATGGGAAGTCATTTTAACCTATCCGTAGGTTAGATACCATTCAGCAACAAGGAATTCGCAGTTAAAATTTCATTTCGTACCACTTTGTTGGATTTTATGTGTCGAGCGTTGTTATTATAATATCTATAAGTTTGTTGTTATTTTAAGATATTGCGGATCTGCTGGTTAATGTTGACAAACAGCAAAAATATTGTGAAAGATGTTGGTTACAGTTGATTTCTTGGATATTCCATAGCATTCTTATTTAGGTGCCGCAATGGCAGCGCTTGGTTCCCGTTTGGACAGGAAAAAGAAAATGAAAGGGAAGAAAAAAGTGAAAAATCTCCTGGAGAAGAAGGCTAAAGGCTTAAAGCTAAATCAAGTCGACAGGAGACGACTTACGAAGGTAAGTATCCGGCCATTATACGCGTCACGGTGCTGTTCATCTTAAAGGGGGAGGGGTGGGAGAAGGGGGCGTTTTGTTGGTTCGCTCGTTTTTTCAGTTTTCCCACTTGTTGTAACCTGTAAACCTCCTGCAAATGTGTGAATTCACCATGAGTCCGTCAATTATCTTGGATTAGACCTGTAAGCCTTTGTAAAGTGCGAGCAATCCAGCCCATGGGAGACGGTAAAGAGGATCGTAATTCGCCGCACCGCCACGCGCGGCGATGGGCGCGGCGTTTTCATAACTCGTTTTAACCTGTCGAATGGAGCACCGGACTTCATGTAGACCCCGTCATCGTAGACACTCATTACTGTTTTCGGTCCTTAATTGCATGTTGTCGCCATCTACTGCCTGAAACCATCGTCCTTTGCGGGGGACGTCGCACGCGACGCCCAGCAGCGCGGCAAATTACGATCCTCTTGTCACATACCCCCAGCCCATAGCATAGCATCGTGCCTGAAATTCCTTAGACGGAAAGTTTTTCTTGCAGCGCGGAAACCCTTCTTGCTCTTCTATCGACAAAAAACGACCCTGTTGGAATCCTGCCAATGATGGGTCTTTAAAACGAGAAAAACCAGCTGCCAACAAAATATTCTCGGGGGCGGTGAAGCCCCCCCCCTTCCACAGTGGTCAAATTGTGCCTCCCTCCGCTGTGTTTTTCACAAGAGGCGCTGTGCTCTGAATGAGCCTCGCTATGAATGTTGCATTGGCTTAACACGAGTTCACTGATTTTTACAAGGGGCCTGTACAAGCTTCGCTTAGTGGCATTTCGTGGCTTACCAAGAGCAGAAGCCCCACCACCCTCCAAACCTAACAGCACCCACATTTCTCCCAAAAAATGTTTCTAACTTCCGTGTTCATTTTTTTGCATTTTCTGGTTAACTGTTAGTTCTTCCTGTAAACAGTTCTCCTGTGAACCAGCTTTGCGTTTTACAGCTCGAAGAAAAGATGAAGTTCAAGAACGAATTAAAAGAAAGTGTGAAAAGTGAAATGAGCAAGTTACGGCTGGCAGAAGAAGACGTTGACGAAACGATTAATATTGATCCGTCATCACCAAGCCCGCCTCCGAAAAAGCTGAAGGATAAAAGGGTATTTCTTGCTAATTTCTGTACAGTAAATGGAATGAATTTATTTATGAATTATTCGTTAAGGTATCGTTCAGTGGAAATATGGAAAGCGTCAAGGTATTTGACAAAAACGTGGACGATCTTGAAATCAAACCGTCGTCTGCGTCTCCAGGAAAGGGTATACTGCGAGTTAAACAGAAAAAAGCGGCGCAGAAAAAGAAGAAGGTGAAGTTCCAAATCCCTTTTTTCCTAGTAGCTAACCAACGCATTGCGTGGTTCAGGTGCAAATGAAAGACAATGTTGACACCCCGAAAGCTAATACCGTTGTCGGTTCCGGTGCGGAGAAAGAAAATGTGGGAGAAGCCGCTGTAGAGAAACTGGAAAAACCTAAGAAGAAGATCAAGATACAGGTCTAGCAGGTGATTCAAGCTTCTGTCCTTGTGTTATGAAATATCCATTTAAGGTGACTAGAAAAGTGAAGGAACAGTTGTTAACTATGGACAGGAAGCAAAGGAAAGCGTTTTCTAAGAGAACTCAAGGTGGGTCCAAAATCGTGTTGTATTTCGACATATATGATGGAGTGAACATTTTTTAGTCCAAGAAAAATCCTAACCACGATCGTGCTATGGAGTGCAAGTTGTTGTGGGAGAAAATCAGAAGGTTTGTATTCTTGCGGATACCTTTTCATGAGGATTCCCATCGAGTGCGTTCATAGTTTGCGTCAGGGTTTCTGAGCGTACGGCAGCGTTCTGAGCGACTAGGAACGTATAGCTGTGGCTGCGTGCATACTTTGCGCCAGCGTCAACCAGCGTCCAGGAGTGCGATATTGTGTACGTACGGTGCGATTGCACACAGCATAATTACATGACGCCTAATCCAGGTGTATGCTACCCTTCTACATCTCCGTGCCATCACTTCTGGACGCTGGTGGTCGCTGGTGAACGCTGGCGTACGCCACATCGGTATTTATACTTCAATAGTCGCTAACGATGACAGATGCTTGGAAGGCCCGATCCAGCCTTCTGAAGTCAGTGTTTAAAGCGCCCGCCAGCGTTTTCAACGATAACTGGTGCCTATACTTCCTAGTCGCTCAAAAAACTGGTGGACGCTGAAATCCTGGCGGACACTTAAAAAGCTGGATCGAGACCTATGCTTTCCCAGTCGCTTGGAACGCTGTCGCAAAGTAAAGATGCACCCTTATACTATTAAACTTCAAATTTTTTGATAGTATAAAATATAGAGCAAATTTTCAGTAGGAAGACTCTTAAGCAGGAAAGAGATGATTGTGTGTCAAAAC